CCCGTGTCCTGGCAGGTCTGAGCCTACTAGCAGGCACTGCAGATTCTGCTCGAACCAGAGCAGGGCACATCTCGGGGGGCTGGGCCTCCCCACCGGCCTGTGTCCGCTGCAGCCCCAGGAGGGCGCAGACTGAGCTCACTTTTCCCCAGGGGCCTGCCAGAGACCCAGCAGGGGTTTAAACACAGGATGTGGAGTGCCGTTCTTCTTCCTTTTTTTTTTTTTTTAAGATTTACTTATTTATGCATATAAGCCCTGGAGTACAGGTCTTCACAGTGTTGTACGTGAACCCGCTGCACCACCACGGAGGACCTGCGGAGCTCCTTTCTGTGATTTTTCCTTTCCGGACTTGTTCCCCAGAAAGCCCGATGCCTCCAAGCTCCTTTACCTTGGCCAGAAAGCAGGGGGAACTTTCTACCAAGTTTTTGGCCACCCCATGCAAGACTGTGTTCTCAGAGTCATATGATGATAAACAGGAAGTGTCTTCTGCTGACTGCCTCTAAGTTTGGATTCCAGCAGGGCCGGCTCACTAGCCTTCACGTTCCAGGAAACTCAGGCAGTTGTTCTGAGTATCACCCAGAAGACCAGAGTTATGCCAGCAGCCCGCTGTGAGTCCTCCCCTGCGGGTCAGCAGCAGAACTCCAGCCCCCCTAAGCAACAAGCCAGCCCTGCCCGCCCTCAGCAGGACCCTGCTCAGGGACCCTGAGGTTCTGAGTCCCACAGCCCCGGCCACACAAGGGAAAGGGGGTTCTGCTGTGCGGGCCTCAAACAGAAAGCACAGCCAGGACTCCACGCACTGGCACTTAGCACTTCCGTGCCCACCAAGCAGAGACACACGGGTCATTTTCATAAACAAAACAGCAGAGCAAGAAATAGGCCTGGGGAAGAGCCATGGATTATGCTAGAATGTAGGTTGATCTTTGGGGTAAGAATTCACCCCAGACCAAGGAAGCGTAACCTCCAGGGGACCTGGCTTCACTTGGTCAAAGGCAGAACCGTGGAAGGAGCCTGTCAGCGAACCTTTACAGTCGCTGGGCACAACAGTTCTGTCGAGTCTTCCTGATGTACCCACAACACTCTGCGGGCAAGCAAGCCCTCCTTGCTTGTTTCTTGAATAGCAAACACTGCCTTGAAATTATTCTCAAATTCTGCCTCCAGTTTAAGTTCCATTATGCCGAAGGTAATGCTCTAAAAAAAAAAAAAAAAAGGAAAAATATTGGGAGGGAGCCGCCAGGGCCTGGGGAGGCCCATATGGCTGAGACAGGTGAGACTACTCTCGCTTCCTGGCCTTGGGCCTACAGCAGACACCTGGGGGCTGGCAGGAGATGCTGGCACAGACCTGGCGAGACGCCAGCATGGAAATAACAGTGGCGACCTCTGTCTTGATTTTGATTTTGCTCTCTTCCTCCCAGACCTGCGCAGCCATTTCTGCCAGAAGGTGCCTTAGACTGGCAAACTTTTGGGCCAGCAACCTGCTTGGAGCCAGCCGTGTTTGGCTGGGCATTTACTCATGCACGGATGGGTAACTCTGGGTACTTGATTTGAAAACCTGATCCTTTTTCTTGACTTTGCTGCACACTGATGGTATTCAAGTTCCTTCCCGTTAAAGGTCTTATGTGCTAGAGTATATTTTGTCTGGAGGTGGTGGATGGCAAAACTTATTTAGAATAGGGAGATTTGGGGGTCCTGGGGTGGCCTTCACCATGCCAGGTAACATGGGGTGTGGGCTTCTGGTTGCAGGGACCCCTGCCGACTCGCTGACCCTCTCCACAGTGAGGTTACATCCGCTGACTCCCTCACTCCAGAGCCCCATGTAGGGTCTGATGGCGCCAGGGAGACGTGAAATCCCGCAGGCAAGTGCCAGTGTGAGAGAAGCGACTCCCGGGAAGAGAAGGAGCTGGAAGCCGGGTAGCACAGGCCTTGGGAGACGCCTGTGGTTTTGGAAGATGAGGCATATCCTGCACAAGCCCCTCCACTTGGGCGTATCTCTGAGTTTAGCTTCTTCTTGATTTTGTCCAACTAATGGGGGATAAGAATAGAAAAGCTGGAAAGGAGGTCAGAGACATACAAGGTCAGGGGCACACAAGGAGGCGGGTAGAGGGGTTAAGAGCCATTAACCCAGCTGCAGGGAGGTCAGGAGCACCGACCTGCAGGCGGGATTCGGGGGTTCAGGACAAACTGCACGGAGGACAGGGGC